GTTGTGGTCTGGCTGTGAAAAAGTAACACAATTGTCTGTTGTGGCTTAGTTATTGAATATCAAATCTGAATATCGCATCCCTGAGGAATGTTTTGATTCAATTTGTCAATTGATGAAGGATGGTTTACCAAAGGACAATACCATGGTTGATAGTTTATATGAGACAAAAAAATTAATACAAGGACTTGGTCTACCCGTGGAATTGATTGATTGTTGTATGTATGGATGCATGTTATATTGGCGAGGAGATAAAGATCTTGATCAATGCAAATTTTGTGAAGCGCCAAGGTATAAAAATTCAAGAAATTCTTCTAAGTTTTCACATGTACCTTTTTCCCGAATGCATTATTTGCCTTTGACTCCAAGGCTGAAGAGATTATATGCTTCTCAAGCAACAGCTGCTTCCATGCGATGGCATACACAAGATCATGGACATGATATTGGAGTTATGTGTCATCCGTCTGATTCTGATGCTTGGAAACAATTTGATGTCATCTATCTGTCATTTGCAGCCGAAAGTCGTAATGTTAGGTTGGGACTATGCACAGATGGGTTCCAACCCCATGGTACCTCAGGAGCACAACATTCAACGTGGCCCATTATAATTACACCATATAACTTGCCACCGTCTATGTGTATGAAAGAACCCTACATGTTTTTTACTGCAATTGTGCCTGGACCTAAAAACCCTAAGCAAAGGTTAGATGTTTTCCTTCAACCTGTTATAGTAGAACTCAAAGACTTGTGGGAAGAAGGCATCGTAACTTTTGATGTATCACTTAGACAAAATTTTCTAATGAGACCCGCTTTAATGTGGACAATTAGCGATTTCCCTACATATGGCATGCTATCTGGTTGGGCAACCGCAGGTAAGCTAGCATGTCCAAATTGTGGAAAATATTCACAAGCATTTAGGCTGCCAAACGGTAAAAAGATTTATTGGTTTGATTGTCATATAGGATTTCTCAAATCTGATTACCCATTCAGATTGAATAAGACTAGGTTCACCAAGAACCGTACAGAAGAAAGGGGCCCTCCTCCAATTATGAATGATGTAGAAATTTTAAGGGAAATTGAAGATTTTGGCTTGTTAAAAGTGACAGAAGTTAATGCTGAGTTAGTAAATAAATCATGTAGCAAAAAAGTTCGATGTGGTTGGAAATTGAAGATAAGTCTTTTCGTTAGAAGCTTAACCGCAACAGTAATTACTGTTGAAGACATGAAAAGGCTTGAAGCTGAAATTTCTGTAATTCTTTGTAAATTGGAGGAGATATTTGTCCCTGGCTTTTTTGACTCGATGGAACATTTACCGATACATTTACCATATGAAGCAAAGATAGGAGGTCATGTTCAATATCGTTGGATGTATCCATTTGAAAGGTTAATTTCGTACTTCACATTATATTTTATACATTAAATGTTAACTCTTGGTTAACTTTAATATGTTACCTATTCCATTGTAGATTGCTCCATAAATTGAAAAATGATGTTAAAAACAAAGCTAGAGTGGAAGGGTCAATTTGCAATGCATTCTTGGTTCGTGAAGCTTCAAACTTTTGCTCTCACTATTTCGAGCCCCATGTTTATACACGTAACAGAAAGATGCCTCGTAATGATGATGGAGGAGCTGAAGATGTTGATTAAGACTTCATTAACGATTTGTTTGAAACTTTAGAGATTTGTTTTTTTGGTTTTAGTTGCTTTAAAAATTGGAACAATAGTGGTATTGATTTGTTTGTTATACCATCATTATTTAATTATTTTAGTTGATGATAACATTGTAATGTATATGCATATATAGTACAAAGCATTTTATACTCTGTGTTGCTTTTTCCTAGCAAGGGTATTTTAGTCTTTTCAATTTTTCTTGCAGTCCTTTTGGTGGAAACTTTGGTTAATGATGTGGGGAAATGCTAACATGTTCAGGGGTAAATACGGAATTTCCTCAGGTAAAATTGAACATATTGAAAATCAAAAAAAGATATCATATGATGTTATGCGCACACTTAGTCTGGCCCAGCAACCTGATCCAATTTAGATTGATCAGGCCCATCCTGATACAGCTTGGGTCGGTCCAAACTAACCAGTCCAATAACTTTTCCAACTTTGTTCTAGTTCAGGTCCAGTTGTTGTGTTATTTTTCAATTTACTTTATGTTTGATTTAGTAAAAATAGTTGGTTTTTGTGTTTTATACGGATGAATATGGGCGGATCAGGACAAGAACAAATCGTTCTGGTGGGATACAGGGTGGTATTTCTAATGGAGAGATCATATACATGAGAATAGCCTTCAAAACAACATCTACAATTGGAGTAAGTATTATTAAATTATGAGAAAAATAGTTGATTGATTTATTTGACTACAATTGGAGTAAGTATTATTACTATTAGTTTTTGAAAATTTCCATGAGATTTGGCATATGGATATAATTTCGAGCATATATGCATATGTAGATAACAATAAGTAATGTCAACAATATCTATATCAACTTTTCCTTGAGGTTTTTCGACATTTCTTTATGATTCGGATATTCTGACTATTTAGAGTAAAATTAAAAAGTGGCATAGTGACACTGAATTCTGCAATGTAATCCATACGGGTGGATTCCGGGTTTGGACCATAATCCAGGTGGACAGCATAAATAGCATTTTTCTTGGAATTTGCCAATAAGAGAAGACCAGATTGAGATAATGCAACAACTTGATTGAAGAAGGAGTCTTCAGTTCTTGTTTCAGAACTCTTCAATTCCAATGTTGGAGTACAATGCCATGAGTCAGCATCACTATGAAGCAACCATCCTTCTTCACTTCCTGAAGCACATATTTTCATTTCACGGTTAAAGGGACCCAGCAGAGTATCAGAATGAGCACAAGGAAGGGCATTTTGGGTATTTTCAAAGGAAAAAGGTTTCATAGTGCATAGTGCTTAGTGTGCAAAACTTAATTAAACCACATCATGTTTTACATGAAAAACTTAATTAAAAAAAAAGGGCATTGTATTAAAACTTTACTTGTTTATGACAATGCCAACAAACTCGAGGATGAACAGGTTCTCATTCTAGCTCCACAATTTGGACGGCTGTAACTATCTTTCCTGTAATTTGTGGCTTATCATATTCATTGGGTTCTACTATAATCTTCCATACATAAACTCGTCCATCCATGCTTGCACTATGTGCAATAATTTCAGTATAACGAGATGATACAGTAAATAAACTATAAAGGAGATTCTACCTAGCTAAAAGGTGAACATCTTCAGCAAAGAAAGCCATACCTGTAACCCTCTGAGAAAAAAGATAAATTGTTGCTATGAATAGATTCGAGGAAAAGAAAAGAGGTTCGTTATAATCTACTGATATAGTTAAGAAAAGAACGAACCTGAGCAAGACCTTTCAGCAGTGATCTGAATGCAGTGTTTATATTAAGAACCCTGATAGTTCCCGATTTCAAACCATAACATATATAGGTCTTGTTAACAGCAATCTGACCACCGACTACCAGACAAGGATCTGAACCATACTTGGTGACGAGAGTGATTTTCAACTACAAAATCATTTTTTTACCCATTCTTTATATATATAAAATCATTACCATGTAAATCATGTATATTGCTTCATACGGATATATATTTACATATATATATATCTTCTCATTGATTGTTTATTACTAACGATATATAAGTTGTAAAAACAATAAGAATATATACAATAAAATTAAATCTTACACAAATTAAATATTCAACTTTTTTAATCCCTGTTTCCAATCCCGCCAAACCAAATCTCCCTGTATCTACTCCTTGAAAACCGATTCCTCATTAATTACACATAAATTGCCCACGTCAAGAATAAGTCCGGTGGTGGACGTCTGTGTTCGTCCTGCTTTCCTCTCGACTTCTAGGGTCTGTTCGTTGCTTCTTACTATCGTGCTCCCACAGATTCTGGTAAAATTTCTTTTATTTCTTCCATCTTGTTCTTAATCTTTATCTTTTATAAGTATCAATGATAGTAAAATTAATCATGTAGTTTTACTTGTGTTTCTACAATTTCTACATAAATCTGATCGACCTTCTCTAGTTTCTACATCGAGATCACACCGAATTAAAAAATTGATTATTCAAACATGTTTTTTACCGATGAGAATATGACCAGTTCGTGATTGGATTGCCAATTTGGCGTTTGGCATCTTATTCTACAATTTATTTTCCGATACTTCTAATAATGCTTCCAATATAGTCAATTGATTATATATGTCACATTCCTGTATATTCCTATTCTACAATCTTTCTCTGTAAGCAGTAAGGAACAAAGTGCAACTAGACAACCATATTTGGCTTTACAGAAAAGTAGGAAGACACTAAAAGGAAAGATACCCACAAATATTTCATTTATCGGTCATTTATATGTTGTTGTCTGCCATACTTCTTGGTTTTATCATACTTTTTTATCAGTTTCAATATACCTTGTTTGTTTATGTGTAAACCTTGCTTCCTTATAATATGTCATTTCAAATTTGTTATTACAGAAGAGATGTATCTGTTCCCATTGAAAGGACATCCCACAAGGCCACACAAGAACATGCATTGGTTGTTACAAAGGTACATGAATGAAGCATCCAATCCTGCATCCACACCGACTATGAAGTCGACAACATCTACCTCCCCACTGTTTGGTACTCAATCATCCCCAAAAACCACTCATTCATCCACACCAACACCATCATTTGCCCCTGCATCGACACCGACACTAACAACAACAACATCTACCCCCATAATGTTTAATACCCTATCAGCCCCTTCATCCGCATCAGCCCCACTGTTTAGTACCCTATCATCCCCTTCATCCACATCAACCCTACTGTTTAGTACCCTATCAACCCCTTCATCCACATCAGCCATATCATCATCCCTTTCATCTACACCAGCCCCATCGTCTGCCCCCTTCCTCCACAGCAACCACATCGACACCGGTTGCTACTGAACATGAAGATGCACAACTAGAACAATGCATTCATATTACAGTTTGGGCAAATACGTAAGTGAAAATACTAATTGATTTTCATATTTTTTTTGTTTAAGTTTGATTAGTTCATATTATTATGAATTTTTTTTTGTTTTGTAGATTATTACCTTCAGGTAAATGTTCGTCCATAATTATGAAATGATTCCTAGATAAAGTGGATGAGAATGAATATAAGTGGGTAACTTTAAGCGAAGAGACAAAACATTTTTATTGGGAAGAGTTTCAGGTAGATTATTTATTATTATGCTTTTATGTAATTATTAGACACACCGTTCACCTATTATAACTTCATTGTTATTATGTATTATAGAAAAAATGCCAGTGGGATGTTGTTGTTAGTGAGTCAGTCGTCAAGGTTGCTTGGGAACAAAAGGCAAAAGAAAGATATCAACAGTACATCTATGACATAAGCACAAGAAACCCAACTCGTGAAAAGCCATGCCACATAGAAATACAAGTATGGAATGCTTGGAATGCAATATGGAATTTAGAGGACTTCAAGAAAAAATCAGAGCAAAAAAAAAGGCGTAAAGGTGTAGTTGGTGGAAAAGCCCCACCTACCTATAATGGTGGATCGGCTTCACATCAACAAATTGTTGCTGATATGGTATGTGTATTTTAACTATTAATATTATTTTTAACATCTTTTTTTCATTTCATCTAATGGAGGTGTGTTTTAATTATTATGGCATATTACATTCATTTTTACTTATGACCACTTTTTAAAAAGTGTTATAGCATCCTATAATATGTGTATAATATAACCACCGCCTTGGCTTATTATTGGTTAATGTAAATTATTAAAGTCTGGTATGATAATTTATTTCTTTCATTACATCTTGTGGTGATATTTGACATATATTTGGTATTAATGTAGGAGGAATATACGGGAAAAGATCCATCATGCTATGAACTATTCATGTTTACTCATACTAAGGATCATGACGGAAAGACATTTCAAGTTGACAAAACTAAAGAAGTTCATCTAAGTTTATTTGTAATTTACATGATAAAAGGAATTTTAAAAAAATCTTGAATAAAAAATATATTAATGCAACAATATCATTGTAGGATTTGTTTGTGTCTCGATGTGCGGATTTGGCATTGCTAGGAGAGGAAGTTCCTGAAAGCGAACTGTTTTATGCAGCTGTTGGAGGACATGACCGTAAGAAAATAGTTTATAGGCTTGGATCATATGGCAGGTCCATTTTTCGTGAAAACTCCTCTCAAATATGCACTTCACCAGATACAACTTTTGAGAAAGATCATCTCGAGAGGAAGATCCAGAAATTAGAGGAAACCATAGACCAACAAAGGATGGAGTTGGATGACGTGAGAAACATGGTTAATGATATGAGAAGCACAAATAATCAGTGATACACTTTTTATTGATTGCATTTTAGGATTTCTAGTTGAGTTTGAGTATTAGACTAATTTGATTGGTGCTTTGGACAAAGGAGTATTTCATTTGATGATAAACTTATTTTTTATTAAGAATTTTTGTAATTTCTTTTATTGTTATTGCAATTTCAGAATCTTGATTTTGTTATAAATTTGCTTCAGAAAAAAATTGAATCATTTTTTTATGTTTTTTAACTAATCATGTCACCATTTTTTGTTATTGATATTTTTACAGAGTTACTAGGGATATTTTTACGTTGTTATTATGTAGTTGAATTATTATGGATTTTTCTATGGAATCTATTCCGTCATATTTTTTCTGCAACGGAAATATGTTGTGGTAAATTTACTATGGAATATTTACAACAAAAGTATATTGTAGTAAATTTTCTATGGAAGTAGATCATAGTAAATTTACTACCAACTATCTGCTACAGAATTAGATCGTAGTAGATTCACTATGGAATATTTGCTACGGCATTACCCGTAGTAGATTTGCTATGGAAATTAGCTACGGGTATGGTTTGTAGTTAATTTGTGACAGATTAACTACAGATTGGGTCGTAGGTAATTTGCTATGGACAACAATTGTAGTTAATTTGCTACGTCACTGCTACGGATATAGTTTATAGGTATTTTGCTACGGAAATAAGTTTGTTGCAAAATCCGTTGCGAAGGTCCTACGGATTCCGTAACAAATGTTTAGTAACGAAGATTTTTGTAACAGATGGGTTCCGCAGCAAATTTCGTCTCTAATCACACTTAACTACGGAATATCATGTTTTAGCTACGAAATACTTCCGTAGTTATTTCGGAATTTTCTTGTAGTGGATAGGCTCGCAGTACGTCACTTGCACCCGGAATATCACGAAGCATTGCTTCAGGAATGGAGCCGATGAAACTGAACTTTGAATTGTCTGCGAGGATGATGTTGGTGGTGTGAAAAATCTGGATTGCTGCCATACAAGAGCCTTCCAAGGTTGGAATGTTGAGTTGCCTAATCGCCAGTTGAACGACGATGGTCCAGAAGCGAGCATAGGAGATTTCACTGTGTCGTGTTGTAAAGAGGGTACTTTGGACCAATTGAGCCCACAGCACAGAGCCGTAATCCAAGTTGATGCCGGAGTAGATGTTGTACATCATGGTCATAAATAATTTGCTCACACAGTCCGAGTCGGTAACCCTCTCCGAAAATCTCTTGAACAGAAGGTTGAAGAGGTCGTTCCACATCGGTGGCAAGTTGGGTTTCTTGAACTTTGAAACAGCGGCTAATGTTTCCTTGTATCCCATCTGGTAGAACATCTCCAGTATTGCTGAGTTGGAGACGCTCTTAGGGTCAATTAGGTCACGACCCTGTGGAAGCCCTAGGAGGTTACAGAACCTCAATTTTGTGATATGGGTCTTTTGGTTGAAGATATCGAACGAGATCAGTTCTTCTCCCTTTTGATAACTAGCAGTGGAGTAGGCTTTAGAGAGATGCACTAGGGGAAGAATATCTGATCTGGTAAGCGCAATAACGAGTGGAGAGTACCTCAGGCATTCAACAATTGGTTGGAGAAACATGTCGTACTTTGATGGGTCAAGGTCAAGAATCAAGTTTGATTTGCCTTGAGATTGAGGATTGAGGACTGGGCCATGGTTTCTACAAATGATGGAGTCTCTGAAGAAGCTGTCATTGAAGCTTTGATGAAGGAGACGATGAACAGTAGAGAGTATAATCGCCGGAGGATTTTGTTTGACTTTTGAAAGTGATAATTAATTAATGAACCGTCAAAATCCTTTCATACGATATAGTAGGTGAGAGAAATCTTTCGATTGGTTGCATCGGTTACCGAAAAGTCGCCTAAAAAGGCGTGACTGACAACTGTGACGTGTGTCAGGCGGCGTCAAATCAACTTCGTTTCAAATTCTCGTGCCCAATCTTATCCTTTAAGATGTCGTTTCAGTTACGTGCTTTCGCAGTTGATTCAGTTATAAACTTTCACAATGAATAGCCATCAACAAGTCTGCGAAACTAAAAGTAAATATGAGTACCACGAACCAGACTTTGGAAAATCACAAGGATCTTCGTGCGAGAGTGTGCCAAAGATAAAGAAATAAATCAATATTATTCTAAGGGATTCTAGTGATGTCTATTTAGACATAAAGCAGATGGATCCCGAGCAATGATCTCTTCCTTCGGAGTCAAGAGAGACTCTAAAGTGTCTGTGTGGTTTCTCGTTGAATTACGATCACTTGTTTGATGAGAATCAGCGAAAAGCATCTTTTCATTAGGCTTTAAGGGTGGCTTTATCTTCAACCAAACTACGAAATTTGATATAAGTCCGAATGTTCAGATGAAGTACTTGTCTGGCCGGTGTAGCCATAAAAACAAGTAAGCTTTTGAATTATTTTAAGTGACTAGGATAAGTATAGAAATCTCAAGAAAAAAATAAAAATTGGATCTATTGGGAAGAAACGTCTTAGGTCTAGAACATCTCATTAAGATCACACAAAAAGAAAAAGAGATTTCATGGTACTAACCACGAAGGTGGACATTCGTTAATTCCATGGTGAAATATCTAGAACATTTATATTTTTCATCGTCAATTCGTATATATGTATTGGATTTTAGGTTTCACTCAATTCGCGGTGATAACGAATTTAAGATCACAAACACAGAATTGGTTATAACCATAAACCTCAGTGGTAATTTCTGAGAGTCTCAAGGGTTATATTTATGAATGTGGAAGTGATGGAGAAATGGTATGAGGTGGTTCCAAAGAAATAATGTACCTCTGCTATGCGAAAGTGACTAAGCAGTTAACTCTTAACTCATTGTGAGAAGAGTAAGGTAGCTCTTGACTTTTGTGAATTAATAGCCTTATTGGGAAGAAACGATTAGTCTTATCGATTCATTAAGGCTTCAACATAGAGTCTTTGAGGCTTTGGTCGACATGCAGCAGCATGCTTCTAGGGACACTTAGCTAGTGCAAAGTTTCGGAATATATACCTGTCCCATCATTCTGAATCGAGAGCCTTTATGAATTTGTATCTTTAGTCCTGCTCAATTATCTAATATTTTTGGTATTTTCGTTTTTTTTACGAAAAGAAATAAATGATGAAAATAAAGAAAATATTTTTGTATTTTTGTTTTTCTGAAAAAGAAATAAAAATAGAAAGAAATAAAATATTTTTGGATTTTCGATTTTCTGAAAAAGAAATAAAAACAGAAAGAAATAAGAGGTTTTTGGATTTTGATTTTCTGAAAAAGAAATTAAAATCAGAAATAAGTTAAAAGAAATAAAGAAAATGTACAAAGGATACATTAGGTTCCTAACCACGAATGAATAGTTGACCACGAGTCACTGCGAACATTCGCACCGATGTGCAGTGTGAACAATTGACTGCGAGTTACTGCGAGCGTTCACACCAATTCGCAGCATGAACATGTGACTATGAGTCACTGCGAGCGTTCGCACCAATTCGCAGGTCTATCAAATACCTATAACTGTGAAGGTGGTTTCGAAACATATTTAGCCTCTACCATTCCGAAGCCTTGAAGAATGTGATTGAAGGTTTGCTCAGGCAAGGCTTTCGTGAAGATGTCGGCTAACTGATCAGCGGATCTTACAAAGTGTATCTCGACATTACCATCTTCCACATGATCTTTGATAAAATGATACCTCAGTGCTATATGTTTCGTCTTTGAGTGTTGCACTTGGTTGTGACATATGCGAATGGCGCTCTTAGAATCGCAATACAAGGGGATTTGCTTAATGTTGATGCCATAGTCACGAAGCTAACTTTGAATCCAGATTATTTGTGAAGTACAAGAGGCAGCGAATATGTACTCTGCTTCCGCAATTGATAGGGAGACGCAATTTTGCTTTTTAGATTGCCAACTTACGAGTTTGCCATCAAGAAATTGACATCCTCCCGTTGTACTCTTTCGATCTAGACCACAACCTACAAGATCAGCATCCGAAAACGCTTGCACAAAGAAACCTGAACTAGAAGGGTACCATATTCCTAATGAGGATGTTCACTTGAGATACCTGAAGATATTCTTAACAGCTGTCATGTGGGGTTCGCGAGGATTCGCTTGAAACCTGGCACAATAGCAAACAGAAAACATAATATCCGGACGACTAGCAGTCAGATACATCAATGATACTATCATTTGACGATAGATAGTCATATCAGCAGCTGGCTTGTCTAGAGATGGTGTTAGTTTCGTTATGAATGTCATTGGAACCTTCACTTTTGAATCTCCCACCATTCCAAACTTGGAGAGTAAGGTCTTTTTATAATCCTCCTAATTGATGAAGATACCTTCCTGACTCTGTCTTATATCCAATCCAAGGAAAAGTTAATCGGACCCATGTATCCATCAACTTTCGGAACTCAACTGTTAAGTTGGGGTTAGTCGATCCGAAAATGATGTCATCAACGTAAATTCAGACGATCATCAAGTGGTCATGTTGGGTCAAAATTATGGTTTATACTTTGCTTTTCTAGTTGATTGTATTTTTCTGTAATGTTTTATGAGTTTACGGTCAGGTTTACGACCAGGTGGGTGTTTACGGCCGTAAACAGGTTTACGGCCGTAAACCCTGTTTACGGCCAATGTTTCTCATGTATATATAGGGGTGAGGGGTGTGAGGTACGAGATAAAGAGAGAGAGAGAGAGAGAGAGAGAGAGAGAGAGAGAGAAAGAGAGGGGAGCTTATGTGTGTAAAACTCAAGGTGTGTTCTAGAGAGAGAAAGTGAATCTTGTGTAAGGAACTTCAATCATATCATCAATACATTCAAGATTCATCATCTTCTTCTTCTCCTTCTCTTCTATTTGATCTGACATCATCCGTTTGATTGGGATTCCGCACCATCAAACGGATCTGATTGATAATCAAACATTTTGGGGACTTACAATTGGTATCATAGCAAGGTTGTATCAATCAATTTTGTCAGATCTGGAGCTTATTTGATCTTATTTT